TCAAAACACGGGAAGGGGGAGAAATAAAGCAGGAAAAAGCAGAACAAAATGATAATTTAAGAAGGCGGGAATCACAAACATGACAAGGCGAAGGTAATTTTTGCGATGTCAGACCCAGGTCAGACTTCGTAGACGGTCGATGTCTTGTAAAAGGAAATTAAAAGCAGTTTTGCAGCGTCTACTTAATTCAGCTTTCCTGATCAGAAATGCAGATTCTTTTCTCCGACCTGTCCACTGGCCATTTGACCGATTTCAAGGTAAAATGTATGTTCTACTTATTCACACACGACAACCTGGACGTTTTAAATTATTGACTGGTTGCTTGTTATCAACGTTATTGGCGAAAACAACAGAGTAATCTTTTAATTCCAATGGTCTTAAAGAAATACAGTAAACAAAAATACTAAATAGACATATACACAATTATACCAAAAAGTATGAATCATTAGTGTTATCGTGTACTTGTACGATCGGATATGAGAAGAAATGTTCTACTGTCAACCGTGAATGTTTTGTGCAGATGTAACCAATCTGTAAACATTCAGAGGAATGGGCGTACACAAGTTGACTGCAAATTAGTAGTACTGGATGCTGTCTTAAACAGCGTTCAAAATTGTTCATCGAGTTCGTTTTTAAAGATGCTAGCGCTGTTCTATCTTAAATACTGTAAATAGTTAAATTAAATATATTCTCAGGTTATTCTGAAAAAATAGCTGCTTTATCTTACATGTTTTACACATGCAGTTGAATGAAAGATATTCCCTTTTGCTCCCTTGCTCATGATAAATATAACAACCAACAAGCCATTCGGTCGGAAATAACAAAATTAAGAGCAGACTCTTGTTATCGATAATTACACAATCAAATTGTTTGTATCAATGGCTTGCCAATGTAATAATGCAGATATATTTTGATCAAACGTAGTTCATTGAAGAAAAATAAATCGAATCAGTGATCTTTTGTTGCACTATGTATTATTTCTTTCATCCAGTATCAATATTCACTAACATTTGTATTCTCAGTAAATTCTACCTAATTAGTATAACATGTCGCAATTATTCAACTACTGGCACTTGATTGTCTCAGCAACCTAGTTCCTCGTTTATGTATTTCTTGCCACATTTTAATTCTTCTCTTATATCAACGTGATCACAAAGGAAATAAACTTCCGCTCGAATCAAATGTCAATTGATTAAGCTGCGATCAAATTTCCAATTTATATAAAATAAATATGTGATTTCCTCTCAATATCATAAATCTGATAGTGTTACGCCCTTTTCATTCATTTTAAAGATAATTATCTTGATATTTTCAAAGAATACATTCGTTCAATAAGAATAATTGTATATGTATTCTTGGGAAGTAACCTTTTGCAAGTGGATAAGGTGAACACCCTGTATTATTTCCGCCTATATTTCTTCACCACCACCACGCACCACCACCACCAAGTCCATTGAACATAGTGACCTTACACGAATCAGAGGGGAAGCATGGCCTACAAAAAAACTGACAAAACAAGTATCATTTGCCAGAAAATATTTTGAAGAGCTATACGAGTTTCCTTCTCGAGTCAATGATATCTTGAAAAGCTTCCGTCCGTTTTGTGATCATAAACTTGACTTCGATGGAGTATCTTTACATTGCATCGCAGTACAACAAACTGCACGTCCTTATTAAGTCGAACACTTTTGGGTGGTTTTGGCATGTTTGGGGTTCCTTTTTTGTTGTTGTCAAAGACAGCATGAGGAATCCCCTCCCGGAAGATAGAAGGAGGAAAAAACAACCATCTTAAGGTTAAGATGATATCCTCTCTTGTAAGTTTAACCGCAGAAAATATGAAAGTATTGTTCCGGGAAAACAATCGCTTTGGAGGCTATGCCCTTTGAAGGTAGGCCCTTAAGAAATTTCCTTTTCGGAGACCGTACGCTGTTGTACCACTTTCCACCATCTCTACAGTTTACTGAAAATTAATCTTTTGAGCCATTATTTAATCACTGTATTTCTGCTTGTAGTAAGAAGCTGCTTATCAGAAAAACAATGATCATGATAAAATCCATTTAGAACGAACCATGTAACTTGTATAACCATGATAACAGTTTGACCGATACAAATATGATAATAATAATGATAAATCATCGATTGGTGCCTATCGTTTTGACACTTTATTTTATTTTCAGTTCACCCTTATTTGAATAATATTTTGAACGATCAGAAACACTGGTATGAGTTCATCATGATTAGGATTATTACGTCACACTTTCTTTTCGCCTCAACAACCAGAGACAGCCGTATGATTTATCCTATTATTACGTCACACTTTCCTCACGATCTTGTGCTACCAGAAACACCGGGTTGATTTATGCTATCTGATTAAAGAGCATGCAGCTCAACCAACCATATTTTCAATCTAGCGGCGCCATAAGAGATCATCGTGTGTACCAGGAATCTTAGCAACATACAGCCCCTTTGTTCTGCGCTAAAACAAAGGAGCATGCACCAGCAACTTTTTAACGTTTACTTTCCAGCTGCCCCACCCCCTCCCCCTCACACTCTCTCTCCGTCTCTCTCTCTCTCTCTCTCTCTCTTTCGCTCTCTCTCTCTCTCTCGGGAGTAAACTTTTATGAAATCCCGGGAGGTCGGGGAGCAGTTAAAATAATGAGCGCTCTGTAGTATATTCCAGGCCTCACGCCGGAGATATGCGGAGCTTATGGTCGATTAGTGCAGTTGGCCAGTCAATAATAATATCTCGGCTCTAGTTATTGCCCAAGACCCGTCTGGTCATCCTTTGTGTGCGTCCAATCGGGAGGAAAATAACAGGTTGTCTGTTTGTGTATGATTTCTCTACTCCTCCCACCAGTTTCCCGCTCACAACTGTTGGTCATTCGATCATCTTTACTTCACAATCGAAGATAATAATTATAAGATATTTCACACTTACGTAGGAACGATCCCATCGAGCATTTATTTACCTAATTTATTCTTCTAACCATTCTTCCTTTCTCTTCTAACTTTTTCTTTATTTCATCTCTTCTATTTCGTCTCTCTCCCCCTCTGTTTTTGAAATTCGAAACACACATGTTAAAAAATATTAAACAATTATTATTTATAATGCAGGGTAAGAAAAACGTTTTAAACAACTAAATACAATCAAGGTTCAAAGCATTATGGAATCATGATATAATATTGTGAAGAGTTATATCTCTTATACATATTTCTCAACAAGAGCAACAACAAAATAGGGCTAAAATATAATAATATGAAAATGAAAGCATTACTTCTTACTATGCGCTCAGAGAGCATCTCCAAATGAAAGCCTGCTGCACATCTAAGCTTTTCCAACTCTTACAAATTAAGACTTCTTGGACATTTAATATCACAAGGGAGGAATGAATTAGTAGTTTTGTCCCACAGCTTTTCAATAGACACAGGTGTCTTATATACAAGTGCCTATATCTCCTTTATTTTGAAAGAAGAAAACAAAATTGAAAATATTTCCGATTGTTATTAGGCTACAAGTTGCTTGGCATTATTTTGCCGATGTATAATGTTCCCGCATAGTATGTTCACGACGGGTGTATGTGTGGTCTATGCTTTGAAAAATAATGGTTTAAAATATTAAAAAAGTAAAATTTGATTAGTTTTGGTTCACTGCATTCAGTTTTATGTCTCAAGTTTTTCCATATACATTCATAAAGCATTCATCTACTGGCAAGATATACTGTAGAAAGATAACATGGATTGTATGCCACGAACGTATGTGTTACGCCGAAAACACTCTGTCTATCTACGCTCACACTGTTGATGCCTTATCAACATGTACGACATTACATCATGATAAGAAATAACTTATGATTTCCTGACAATGTGAACAGTTTCCTAAACTATATGGATACACAATATAGCAATTAGGACATTATACTTCCCATTTTGATAACGGGATGTGTTACAAATTTAACATTTTTGTGTTTATTTGCCAAGACTGGATTACTAGTAAGTGCGTGTATTGGCTACTTGCGGGTATGTGTTCGATCGCTAAACTTATGGTTTTGAAGTAGCATTTTGATGCTGAAATATAATTATGTGACCTTCGAGTTACACAGTTTGATAAAAGCTCCCATTTACCCATTTTTATTTTCCTTGAGAAAGGTCTGCCAAGAAGGGCTAGGGGTTTCTTCGTCTTCTTTCTTTTCTCCAGTCATTTTAGAACCTAGCCCTAAAAAAGTTTTCTGTCAATGGCCGGGACGAACCCACTTACCCTTCCAATCCATTATGGTTTGCCACTGGCAATGTTTATTCGCTGGAGTAGAGAGGGTTTAGAGACAGCCCAAAGATTCAGATTTCCCCCACAAACCCTTTCGCTACTCTGATCTCAGCGTTAAACAAAATCTGACCCCAATGTACCTGAAATGCCTCGTTGAACGATTGATAATATTCAGATGAAAGATGGGGGACAGGGATGATTGCAAAGGAGAATAAGAAGCTGACAGTAACATCCTTTACCTAGCACAGGAATAATATGAACTGACTTGCAATTTCATGGGGTGAGTTATGGTTGAAAATATGAGTTGTGCTGCCATCACTTGCCGGGGGATGAGCATGATATTTACGATTGTTAATAAAGATAAGTGATCATCAGTGATATATTGTTTTCTAACGTGACTTTCTGTATTTTCTCTCTGTTATTTCCCCCAATTCGCAACAGTTACTGAATTTTTGACGAGGATCTTCATATAGCCTCGTTTACCAGTGTCTTGTAAGAAATCAAGCCCAGAGGAGAGGTTGAACAAAGGAGTTAGGGCAAGATTGTGCCGGTGGTAAGCAAGGAAGTGGAAGGCTAGCTCTAGTCCCCACCCCGTACCGTGTCGGGTTACATTGATTGACGTGGTTCCCATAGAGAGTAAATCCTGGTCTGCCCTTATCACGGGCCAGCGACCGCGCCGCGGGATTCGACCAATCACGGAGAGCGACAGTAAAAGGCACGGTATGTGCCTCGCACTGTCAGTCACTGGATAGTCAGAAGCACTTGAAACACCGTCAAAACAAGGGCTCGTCGTGTCGCGCGCAACCTCCTCACTATACACGCGCATTGTTCAAGCAAGCCAAAGAGTCGCATCATCCTCTTCAGCCGCCACTGTCTTGCCTTCATCTTCATCCAGAGCAGGACTCATCATCCTATCCTTGCCACGGACCTGGGCCCGGTAAAGCCACCGGTCTCCTCATCCATCTCTTCGCCACCATGCTCCCGTCCTTTGGTTTTACTCAAGAGCAGGTTGCCTGCGTCTGCGAGGTTCTCCAACAATCCGGCAACATCGAGAGACTTGGCCGTTTTCTCTGGTCGCTACCTGCCTGTGAGCATCTCCACAAGAATGAAAGTGTTCTCAAAGCCAAGGCGATTGTTGCCTTCCATCGCGGAAATTTTCGGGAACTTTACAAAATTCTCGAGAGCAATAACTTCTCACCGCATAACCACCCAAAACTTCAGGCTCTCTGGCTGAAAGCACACTACATCGAAGCGGAGAAATTGCGGGGACGGCCCCTGGGTGCCGTCGGAAAATACAGGGTCCGAAGAAAGTTTCCTCTGCCTCGTACTATCTGGGATGGAGAGGAGACTAGCTATTGCTTCAAGGAGAAATCGAGAAGTATACTAAGAGAATGGTACTCCCACAACCCCTATCCTTCTCCCAGGGAGAAAAGAGAGCTGGCCGAAGCCACAGGACTGACCACGACACAAGTTAGCAACTGGTTCAAAAATAGGCGACAGCGAGATCGAGCAGCGGAGGCAAAAGAAAGGTAGGATTGCAACCGCAATTGTCATGTTTATATTATTATTTTGGATAACTGTCAAAGATTCATTGTCTCAAACACACTCTGTAAACTTCGTAGTCAAGCAAGCCCTAATCATAAAAGTGTAACTAGATGTTAACACTAAACGGTATAGAGATACATAAATACTAAAATCAGACTCTTTTTGATATCATGAATGGGTTTATTTGAATACCTCTATCCGCGATAAACGAAGAGTCAATGGAATCCTACTCACGAAAAGAAAAGTGTTCAAAGCAGCGGGTAACTTGCCGGCAACCACCGAACGTCTCTGCCGACAGCCGGGGGTGGGTCGGCTACCGGCACACGCTCCGGAGCTGTCACGCACCCCTGCTGGTGTTATTGCTAATGTGTGGCTATTTACTGTCCCTCAATATTCCTAGGTGGTCTAAGGTCAACCAAAATATCTTTTTACTTGGATAAATTCTTGGTAATATCAAGTTATCCTTTTTTAGTAGTACATTTTCTTGTCAAACTGCTGATTGTTATTACTTACAATGTCTAAGCTGTTAACAAACACAATCGTCTTATTCCTGGAGCAAATAACGTTGGTATACTTTAATGTAGAAATGATTTTCGAATACATTGATTCCTCACTTGACATCCTACACTGCTTTGTAATTTTAAAACCCTAAACATCGGCGGAATTTACTTTTCAATCGTGTCAAAACCGGAACATTTAGTTCAAATTACAACGGAATGACTTAAAAATACGCACAAATATATTCCGTCATTGCAAAGCGAAACCTGAAAACCGGTTTGAAGTCCCAGTGTAAATTATTTGGAGCAAGGTGCTATTTTACATCCCTGGCCAATTCGAGAACAGTTTAGCATTGTCAGAGATTAGAAATGAAATTAGTTTTGACTGGAATATGAGAGTAATTATATTTTAAGATGTAAGGTGTACGGTGATCTGACAACATTTCCTTTGAATATGTTTTTCCTTATTTTCCAATCACGTAATTTCTTTGATTTACTACTAATTGCCGTCGTGATACCATGTACATTGTTATCCTCATCAATTTTAATACATCAGCAGTGATGAGAAAAACCCCGAAAGGAAAATATAAAGCTAGAAATTCCGCTTGTGAAAAAGGTGACAAAGAGAAGAAAATGTAACTTTTGTCATGTACATAACACACTTATCATGTTTACATTGTCGCAAATAAATATTTGAAAGGTTTATTAACATGTGCAAATTAAAGTTAAAGCAAATAAACAATTCATATACATTGAAAACAAGAGAAACAAAACCATTGGTGAAAAAGTGATTTGGTTCAACGGTATGACGCGTGACAGAAATGAACTCATAACTTCAATTTTTAAAAGTGAATAATCTTTAAGATTAAACGTAGACAGAATGCTGTAGAGAAAATAAGTGCTCTTTAAGTTATGATTATGATTAATATAATTAATTCCAGTTGCGACATGCTCAGATAGTAATCCGAGTGATATTTTAATGAGGTGTATGTTATAATGATTTTGGACCGTTTCCAATGGATGCCCTTTTTCTTGTACTTGTCAACTCCAGGGAGAATGCTGAACAAGAAAGCAAAACCAAAATGGCTACACCAAGTACGAGTTCAGAAGAAGACCTGCCGATGAACGGGAAAGAAAACCTGGGCGAGACGACGTCGGTTGATATGGGTGTAAACCATATGGGGCATGTTGGACATCATCATCCTCATCATACCCATGGTCATCAACACAGTCACATCCACCCTCACCCGCATCCGCACCCGCACCCGCACAGCCATAGCCACAGCCACAGCCACCCTCATGCTCACAGTCACAGTCACGGACCCGCTGGTCTCATGATGAGCGAACTGAGTAAAACGGGTTATGGCATCACGAACTTACCACCTGGCGCTGCCGAGGCGGCCGCCCAAGCTCTCGCACCGGTCAACCCCGGCGACTCGGTGCTGCAAAACTCCATCCAAAACTCTATGCTGCCTCACATGGCTAATAACCTGGTGGACATGGGGTAAGCCAAAACAAACTTAGAGAGACCTGCTGGCCAAGTGAGTGCGTGGTTCGAATTTTGAGATGATGTGCGTGGTGTTTGATGATGAACACTGATGCGGGGATAGGACCTAGTCAGTCTTAGCGCACGTTGGACGACCATCAGTCGGAAAGAAAAACATGAACAAAACTTAACGTGGGCAGCTAGCTCAGCTCTGTTACCCGCTTTATAAGCGCCGACCACATCCTTCTTGCAGAATGAAAGAAGAACACTCTTTATAGACTGACAAGAGATTTGCTTTACTGAAAATATTTGTATTATAGTACACAAACAATTCCTAAGACAATTATCTCAAGTGAGGGTGTGAGAAGAAAATGAGGAAGGAAAAAAAAAAGATTTTTTTTTTTTCATTTTTTTTTTTTTTTTTTACTGTATCTTATTTCTACTCTTTACGACTGCGTGAGACATGTTCGTTCTCGTACCAAGTTCTAGTGAAGAGGATGGTCCAGGTTTTGACATTTTGATGTCATTGGAAAGATTTTGAATTGAAATCAGATTTATATAGCTTGACAAATTGTTATGTGAAAGATGTCTGCTTCTTCTGCAATATATGGACTGCTGTTTTATGATATGAATGTTTTTGCTATAATTGGACAAAACCCAAATGTACATTGATATTGTTATTAAACTCCTTCACTCAAGAAGCAATGGAAACTCGGAGAAAACAAATCTAATATGATCCAAAAATGTGTGTAAACAATGTTTTTACATATTTATTTCCATTTTGTTACTTTTCAGAGATAACAAGGTAGTTTTTTTTATTTGGGCGAAAAACTCCCAAAACTCCCAAATCATTTTTAATCGTGCTTGTTTCTTTTTTGTAGAAGAGAAAAAAAATCGACTCGCAAAGCGAAAATAAAGAGGTTAAGACATTTCAAATGATGGATGTATTTTTTTTTGTGGTAGTCTTTTTCAGTTTGCTTGTTTTTGTCGCTTGTGTGTTAAGCTTATGCCCTCAGGAACTACCCTATCGATCACAAAACCACACTCGGAACCGATTATGCGAAGACGAAATTACTCTTGCGCAATGTTGGCTCGGGAATAAAAAATTGACAAGATAAAATGGCTGTCAAAATATGACTTTACGAAAGACGAAAAAGTACATTAAAAGAGAAATTCATATAATGCATTTTTATGACGAATATAGAGGGAGGAAAACAAAACGAATTCTTCTTTTGTTGGTTAAAGCAAGGGGTTGACTGCTCATAACTGTAATATCAATAAATGACATTTGGCAGCTCGATGGGGGGAATCTTGTCAAATATTGCAAATTTAATGAGTTTAATATCATGGGCAGGCGAGAAATTGATTAATCGTCGACCAAGGATCGATGTTTCCCCTTTTTTTTCTTCGTGGATGGCAGGATAGAGTAGAATGTTATTAATTTTGGAGTGCGTGTAGTGATTCCTGTGTGCCGAGGAGATTTAATTTGAGGACGAGGCTTCAAAATGATTGTCTGTTGGTGGAACTGAAAAGAAGAGGAATGTGATTGTATATGTTATGTTGAGCATTTTGAAAGATGTGAAAAAAGGTGAATAGATTGCACAAAACACAAATTCAAAGAGCAAAATTATTCAGAAAATGAAACCCTATTTGTACTGGTTAAACATTTAAACGGTGTTTTCAATATTGAAGATAGCAGCAGTAATGTGTAAAAAAAAGAAGTAATAATCAAAAGTATGATTGAAAAAAGAAGGTTTTTCCCCCTTTGAAGTGCAAGAAATGCAGTTTTGTTGATACTGACTGAAATATCGCAATTTAATATCCAATGTTTATTTAAATTATACAAATCATGTAAGTCTATTTGTATAATGTTTTGGACACTTTAGGAGCTAAATACTCGATACACATTTGATCAAAACAGGTGGCCTATACAAGATAATATGCACATTAATGCTACTATCTTTTTATGCATTTGAGATTTAAAATTATGAGAAAAAAACTACACAAAATATGAAGAGTTTCCTGAAATCTCTATAAATACCTTTTAAAAAAGGTCATAATTTAAAATGAAAGCATAATATTTGATATCTGAGATCAAGTGGTGAAGTTATGCTCCTTTCAGTTTTGTGCTATTTGTTGATCTTGTGGAGTGAGGAATGAAACAACTTCACAAATTAACCAAAGTGCTTCAACCATGACAATATTTGCTTTTAAGCGTAATGGTTTTGTTTGACAAAACCATTTTGTAATTGTCATGTAAAAGCAAATAGAGTAATATTTTGGCAAAATAATGTGGAAAGAAAGACAAATTAAAAATAAATATGGATGCAAATGGGTACATATAATCACGTCTTTGGTTAATTTAGAAAAGCAACATTTTCAATTGATATCATATGGCTTATGCTGTCAAGATCTTCACTTGAGATTGATGTGTGAGTGCTAATAAGTCTGTTTGACCATGACCCATGTGATGTGTGTATTTGCTCGATTCCTTTTTAAAAAAAGGCCAAGTCCAATGTAAGAAAATGCATGCCTCTAAGAAAGGAGGCAGGACATATCTTATGGGTATGCGAAGAAAAAGAAAACCGGAATAAACTGATGACACTCATTTTTGTTCCAGATTATTTTCCTAAAAATATTTTTTAGTATTTGAATAAACTAAGAATTTCAATGCTATCTTTTAATATTTAACAAAGAAAATCCTTCGTCTTTTTAAAATTGTTGTGGTCAGTTTAATGTAACTGGTATACAAAGCCTACTTTTGAAAGGGAACGAAGCGATTATTGCCTCATGTTTTGAATGACTATTGTGGTTATGATGATTGTTTGTACCAAGTTGTTGAAATTTTAGGTGTGCTATAAACATATATGTGTCCATGGTTGTTGTAAGACTTATAATCATTTTATTGACAATCATATTAGTCATCACATCATATCAGTCATTCACATCGTATATGAATCGCCAAATTACAAGTTTCATGACTATAAAGTGGATCAATTACTATTGAGCCATGCAAACCAAAGAACTGGACATTAGAGACTATACATTTTCCAACGAAAATATCATTAGGTTCACAAGCGTGGTCAGCAGATGTGTACTCAATAATTTCACACTGAAAAAAAACGACCATCAATATTCTTGCTCGAAATCCATTCACAATTCGCAAATAAAACTGAAACAGATTATCGATTTTCTACTAACACTATGATGGCAAAAGACCAAGCTGATATAGATAGGCCTCATAATCAATATCGACACTGATTATGATATTCTTACGACGCCGTCCTACTGCTAAAAGGCGAGAAGTCACATTTTAAAGTCCATAGTGTTCTCTTTGTATTTTCCCTCTGATTTCTCTCTCCTAGACTCTTGCATTTTTGCCTCATGCTGGTCAGTTTTTCACAAAAAGGGGATTACCCCTTTTTTTTATATGCCAAAGGCTACGTGTGCTCATGTGTGCTAAGATATAGCGAATAGATTGAGGAGGAAAGGGGAAAAGGGCTCGTCTTTTTCGTTTTTTAACGCTGGGCCTACACACTCTCTCTCCGATCTCCAGTTACACGCCTCAGTCCTAGGCTAGAGAGCTTGGCCACCGAAATGAAATCGACTCCTTTTAGCATAACCAACTAAAAATTGGGTTAAATCACGAATATATGCTTGGTGTTCGTAAGACTCCCATCTCTCGAAAATAATCTCCACTCTTGATTGGCTTTCGGGGCAATTTTTCCCGATTAATTGAACTAATCCCGGCCGTGGAGGGCGTCCCGCTTGTAATCTCGCCCGACCATCTCGCCTCCTTATTTGTTTCAATTTCCCCTGTCTCCCCCTGTCGCTTAAATTGCCTCAAACTCTCTCTGTCATTTTGCAGTTCTGGGGAATAATCCCTACGCGTGCTCATTTCTTTACAATTATGGTATTTACCGTTTCCTTCCAAATTTTACGCTTCTTTTGTTTACAAAGCTAATGTAATTTGATTACTATGTGATGAAAAATTATGGTCAAATTATTTCAGTGCCCTGCTCTCCCCTACAAGCGTTATGTTGTTCATTTTCTTTTTGCTTCCATAGAATTATTGTTTAATGCCGTTAGCTTTTGTTAATGATATAGTTTTAATGCAAAGATCATATTGAAGAAAAAAATACAACAATCGGAATCGCTAATAAATACTTAATTTCGATCCAATATCAGTTTCAAATTCCTTTGAATATTATTCATTTACTCTCTTTAATGAAAACATGAGCAAAATTACATCGGGCGACAAAAAATTCTTCTCAGAAGTATGCTTTTGCTTCTTCAATAACATTTTATATTATAGTACCATTTCATTTTCCACGCTCTTACATTATCTTAATTTTAAAATGGGCCTATGTATGTATAAGGGTTACATCATGAGATTATGAATAGCCGGGATGAGTTGTGAAAGGCTGTTATTAAGCAGATAATTACATTAATGTTGATCCGAAAAAGGCAACTAGATAATTATGAAACAAATTTTGTTTCATAATTGTTTATAATAAACCTATATTTTTTTTTTATTTAGGAAAGAAAAACCTGATTAAAAATAATGTATTTTTAAAATACATTATTTTTAATCAGGTTTTTCTTTCCTAAATAAAAAAAAATATAGGTTTATTCCTTTATTGGTGTTTCATGAAGTAATGTTCATAGTATTTGTGCTTTATTAGTGGATCTGTAACAGATATCATCCATCACATTATTATAAAAACATTTCCCCAGATATCATTATTATTATGTATCGTTGGAGAAGGGTTTTAATTTCTTTTGAGTAAAATCATTCATGACACATTTTATACTTTAAAAATAGATAATTGACTGTTCATATTTCCGTCGACATAATATACTATAATTACTTCAAAATTCTTTTGATGATTGTACTTAGTAAAAAAATAAAGTAAATAAAAAATAGCAAAAATACAACAGGACTGTTTGATGCAAAACATAATGTAATGTGGCTCATAACGTAATAACTGAACCAAAACAAATTTTCAGTTATCAAAAAGTTAGCATGATAACAAGGCGAAATGGAGTAAATAATTATTATGAATAGAAATACT